CTTCGGCAATCAGCAGGAGGCAAGTTCTCAGGCAAAGGCACCCAACCAAATGATGAAGCCCCCAGAAGAATCAACACATCTACTCCTTTTCCCTCAAGTACCTTTCGGCAAAAGGAGTGAGGGACTCCTGATGGAGTATATGGCCCAGGAACCCCCGGCCCGTAGACTCCCACTTCTCCTACACAAGTTCATTGAGCTCAGGAAACAACTCAGGCCCAAATACCGCGGCCCAAGCCTCAAAGCAGCCCAGAATACACACTGGGGGGGCCTTCGGCCTCCTTGGCCGAAAGCTCCAAAACTCACAGGATAGCCTTTTCTGGCATAAGAAGCTACTGGAAGAAAATGGGCAAAGACATGAGCCTTCGGCATTCTCATGCCCTCGGCGCCAGGGGAAGCCCTCGGCTACACAAGGAGCCCTCGGCTACACAAGGTGCCTTCAGCTGAACAAGCTCAATCATCGAAGATTCCTTTTAGAGACAGCCAACCACCGCATTTAATGCCACGTCGCATCCACCAACCGCATTCAATGCGGTTGACGTACCACTGCCGGTGCCACCAGGCTGATGTGACCCTTCGGCCGTTGGATTACTGACACGTGTCCTCTCATCGCATTTATTGCTGCTATAAATAGCAGCCCATTTCTCCTTGTAAACGACACAATCCGCATCTCAACTCCACATCTCGAGTTCATTTAATAAAATCGACTCTCTCTCCTCCTATTTGCTCTGACTTCTCTCTAAGTTATTCTCGTAATAACCCCTCGGATAAGATACCCCCCGGGTAGACTGTCCATCAGTCCTATTTTGGAATTTACAAACGTTTTTAGTCCTATTTAGGGTAAATTCTCATTCCTAAATGCACACTCGTTTTGGACATAAAGATTGTGAATATTAAAACGGTGAGCTGAGATTAAGGTTTACTAAAACAAGATATAAATAAAACGGCTATTAGCCCTGAATGGAACTAAAAGTAGTCTAAATTTTCATATTAGGAGTATACTCCTTTTATTCTCAAAGTAGTAATAATATAAGTCTCTTCCTCATTTTCTATCTGCTACCTATAATTTCTAATAGATTCATTTATTAATAAAAATCACACTCTAATTTGTATTAAATATATAAAAAGTTGAAAAAAAAAACTATAAATTAATAAAAAATCGGGAAAACATAAAATAAAATTAAAAGAATTAAATATATATATATATAGTATTTAAAAAAAACTAAAAATTTTAAAAAAAATAAAATAAAATACCTAAAAATATATTACGTATTAAAAAATATGTAGGCCACTACCTCTGCATCCTCCACCTCCTAGAACACCACCTCCGATCGCGGGAAAAAATGTCATCTTGTGTAAAAAAAAGTCACATTTCTTCGAAAATGTCATGAATATGACATTTTTACTCTTTCAAAATATCAAGCTTTCTTTTCAAAATTGCCATCAAGATGACATTTTTTCCCCAACTTGACAATCTTTTTTGGCGACCGGTTGAGGCCTGTGTATTTTTTTTTTTATATTTTTTATGATTTTCTATTTTTTTTAATAATTTTTTTTTATGTTTTATGATGACTATTAAAAGGGTAGAACAGAAAGAGTTAGTCCTATTTTGAGAATTTAATAAACTCCTATTGTTGCAATATTGTTTTATTTAGTCCTATTTAGAGAAATATCTCTAAATAAAATAATAAACCACATAATTTTTATAGTGAATGAAAAGTAATTTCAGAATAGGAGAAAAGTGCTCGTGGGTCAATTTGTTCGGATGTAGATGAATTAATTAGGTCGATGGTGTTTTCTTCATGTTTCTTCCAGAAAATCCAAATGCAATTCAAATAAGGAAATGGTCGTGACTCGTGAGTGTAATTTAACTTGGATTCAATAATTCAATTTCTGCCATACACTCATACTAGACTTAAAATGTAAACCCATTAGACTTATAAAACTATTATATTGGATCGGATGATAAGTCAAATTTCATTTTTTTTAAGAAAATCGGTTTAGATAAATAACCAATAAAAGTTCAGACTATGGGTCAACTGACAAAGAGAAAAAAGATAACCGTCATCTTCCTCGAACCAGATTCGGAATTAATCGCCGTAGCAATATAATTCGCTGATCCATAACCGGGAAACAATAAGCCTAACTCGGTTACCAGATTCCCCTCATCCCCCACATCCAAAACCAACGTCTTACAAACAGGAATGATAAATAAAAAGCAAATAGCAAGACAGACATAACAATCACTGAAAGAACAAACAAAACCAATAAAACAAAACCCTAGATTTGCTTGCACTCCATGGCGGCGGCTCAGGAGGGGGTCGCGCCTGTCGCTCACTCGCCACAACCTCACCATCAGACATGTCCCCGAAGCTTTCCATGCAAATTTGTTGCTTGAACCTTCTGCTAGCTCCTTGCCGCATCTCAAGGCTCCTTCGATCCAGCCGCCTCGAAACAGCCGTTGTTCGTCTCATCACCGTATTCAACGGGCTAGACCTTCTTTGTGATCGAAACCCGCAATCGGAGAAACGAGGAACCCGGACAACGTCTTCGACAATAGACAGCATCTTCCAAACAATCCAAAAAGACATCTAACAAATAAAGACTCAGAGATACGGCGGAGAGCCGTCTCCAGACAAACCCTAGGCCGCCTTGACGGGGGCTCTAGGGAGAGGGAACTCTAATAATTATTTATGTTTAACTTCTTGTTAGAGACTTTTGAGAATTGAGAACAAGTCAAATTTCATTACAGATCAAATTACATCAAATTATTTCAGAAAATTCAGTACAATTGAATAATATAAAACAATAATTACACACTTTTGTGCATAATTTTACTTTCTATATGACAATCATAGATTACAAATACTCCTCGAATTCTAAATAAACTTCACATACACTTTCCTTTTTTGGTAAGATCAAAATAAGCTTCGCACCTAGTCCTTACTTTATCAACAATGCTTGATGTACCCACTTTTATACCCGCCTTATACCCACCATGTTTGTGGAGGTTTTTTTGTCTGTGAACCCGGGTTCACAAACAATATTTTGTTTGTGCAAAATATTGTCTGTGAGCCGGGGGTTAACAGAAAAAAGCACTTCACAAACATAGGTGCGTACAAAAGTGGGTATAAGAGTGAGTACAAAGATCATTTTGTTACTTTATTACCTATTTTACACTCATTTTCTCTCTCCCACCTACACTTTATCACCTTTTTATAGGGCATGATGGGAAAGTCAAAAGTAAAAATTCAACTTTCTTAAAAACCGTAAAATCAAACTATGAAGTTTATTATTTAGGACCAGAGGGATTAATAAATAACCCGCTTTATTACTTCTACTATCAGATGGTACGTATAACATATTTTTAGTAGTGATTATTGTTAGGGGTTTCCTTAAAATCCTTAAATATTACTAGTACTAATGAAAACGTTACGGACAAAAATGTGACCTAGTAACTATTAGTGACTATAATTATGTTCAAACTTTATATCACAGTAACTTACATTTAGTTACTACGATGTAAATTTTGAACACAACTATAGTCACTAATAGTTACCATTGTTCTAAAACTCGTCAGGCCCTACTCGGGCAGTTGAGGGGCCCCTAGCACCTAGGCGGCGGACTAGGCCGATGTTTTAGCCGACTAGGCCTCTACAGTTAGGACCGACTATAATAAGAAGAAATGGTTGACCAACAAATAGAAGATGTTATTCTATTGTGGTGAAGACACATGTACTTGGCTAACAAGAAGAGGTGTACTAGTCTAATGATGCGATGACACATGTAAAGTTGATTGGAGAGATATTATAGACAACTTACTTACTACTGATTGATACTGTGTATAACGGATTTGTCATTTTTGTACCAGAACGCATGTGCACGCCACACATGTGTTATCTGGAATATTCTGTGTAATAATCGTCAGGGTGACGAGCCTTTGGACAACTGTCATGCTGGTGACGAGGCCGTGGTTATGTGCGGTGTTTGATCGCTGAAATGTCTTAGTCCACAATTGGTTGATGATGCCCCGATCATAACAAATGAGATTGAGCTCGGGTATGATATGCTTATCATGAAGGGAGCAATCTCGGGTTGCTGCTTGTCATGTGCAAGCGTTCCTTTGTTCTGATTGATTTTGCAGGATGTCAGTTGACCCCAAGCTCTATGGCGGCAGATTGTGATATTGACCTCGAAGAGGATCGACCTCGGCCTCGGATGCGGTTTCGGCCTTATCTCAATATTCTGGGAGATAAATGTTGGACCGACCTCAGGGGTCGAGCTCGACCTCGGTGGGATAATGACCTCATACTTCTGCTTCTGAAGACTTCTTTATTCGTGAATGCTGATAACCCTGGGGTATACGAAAATATACTCAATCACCGTGGATTTTTTGCATACTAAATTTTGACATAAGGATATACTCCCTAGTCCTATTGGACTTTTTCAACTTTTTTATTATCCTAAAATATTTGCTATTATCTTATTAGAGTAATTAATTTGTAATTTTGCTCATTTTTCCTCTTCTTTGCATATACCTTAACTACACAATTTTTATTTTTTCTCTTGACCAGATAATACTTCCTTCGTTCTTTAATTCTTGCAACATTGTGATTTTTACACTATTCATAGACCTTACTTTGACCACGATTTTCTACTAGTATACACAATCAAATTATTACGTATAAAATGTTATTGCATTCCTATCAATGTAAATTTCCAAAATATCAACTTTTTATAATGTTTACTAATACATAATTATATATAATTACAGTCAAAATTGTACGTTAGCAAACGTGAAAGTCAAACGGTTGGAAGAATTAAAGAACGAAGCGGCATAGTATGTATTAAGGTCAAAGGTGTGATTTGGTCTATGAAATAAAACGGCCATGCTAGAAAAGGCTATGTGAATCATATTTGTGTAAGAAAGAAGAAATACCCAAACCGACCTTTTGAATTTTCTCCAATGAAATTACCTTCCAATGCACGTCTAATCAATCTCCCTTTCTTACCTATGGTCTATATATATTTCCAAACTCTGATTTTTCCCATCTCTCCGACCGCTTCTCTTCTCCTATTCAACTCTTCACCTTCCTCCACCCCCACCTGAAAACCATGTCTACAGATCTACACCTCAGCCAATTAGATTTGTCAGAAATCAAATTACCGAGATTGAAGGTGAACAATTCTTCATCTCCAGACGGTAACGGTTCCGAGACCAAGGTAAATCACGAAGAAGAAGCTGTAAATCACGAAGAAGTCGAAGAAGAATGCCATACGCCGAAATCGCCCCGGAATTTGATACCGGAGATGCTAGTATGCCCGCCGGCGCCGAGGAAGCCACGGCAGCCGCTGATCCGGTGCAAGAGGAAGCTCAGCGAGTTCAATTTCGCGGAGATGGTGGCGCGAGAGGAGGTCGAGTCCCTCTTCAAATCCGCCGCTTCTGCCAAGATCAGAAGGTGCTTTTTGTAAATGAATTCCGGATATTAAAAAGAAAAACAAGAATAGAAATTCCACTTTTTATTGATTTTTTTTTTTTGCTTAAAAAGATTTTATATGTGAGTAGAAATTACATTTTTATTTTCTGTGAATGATTTTAGTTTTGATTGAATAGGCGAATTTTGTTGAAGACTGATTCAACAAATTCGGATCTGAATTATATTTTATATACGCTCAGTATTGTATATGGGTTGTTATACATCGACGAATTCAATATTTTGTTGTGTAAATTTAATTTAGTCAAATTATTGTTTCCAAACCGTGTTTCTATTTTTAGGATGATTGTAATACTTTATATTTGAGTTCATTACGGAATTTGTATCCCTTTTTGCCTTGGATCGAATTTTTCGTTTTTGTGAATCAAATTTTTGTGCTTAGCGATGGTATCCAGAAATGATCTCCTATAATGTCCGTTTATTACTAAGTTTGCTGGTTTGAGGGGCTTCTGTCTATAAATTTACGTTATAGTCCTTCCGTCCTGAGATGTTTTAACTTAGAACCGAAATTTGTTGGTTTGTTATGGTTTGTTTAAGTCCGATTCGGTTTGATCTGTTTAAGTCTGATATGGTTTTGTCTGGTTTGGTGAATGTTCGCTCTCTGTATATTTTAACTATGGAAGTCTGATTTGGTCTGTTTAAATCTAGTATGGTTTGATCTTATCTGTTCAAGTCTAGTCTGGTGTTAAGTAAAAACATCCTAACTACAATACTGATTATTCACTTTTACCTCTTATGTAGAATACTTCGTATGTTTAATTCAGGATTTATTAATATCTTAATACATTAGATCAAGTTAGATTGTTTTTACTTCAATTCATTTCAATTTGAAATCAGATCAGATTGGACCAGATTAAATTTGGATAGTTATAACATACACATGTATTAGACATCTACCAGATCACGAATTTGAATCGGTGAAACAATACATTTAAGTTCTATACGTTCATCTATACATTACAGCGCAAAAATTGCGTTCCTAATGAACTATTACCTCCGTTTCACTATATTTGGGACAAGAGGGTGTGACACAATTTTTTAGAAAAATAACATTGTGTAGTTGGTATTGAATTGATAAAGTCTAAATAAAGTAATACGGAGTAATGAATTGTAACCACCCAAATATTACCAAATATGGTATGCGACAAACTTAATGGAACGGATGAAAAAAGTATAACGGGATAAAGTTACAGGATGGAGGGAGTATGTATTATATTCATACTCCAACACAGCATATATATATAGTACTATGGGTAATTTACTGCCTATAATAATTTGCACACCATATAATTCAATAATGTGGGTTAAATAATTTAGAAAAATGTTTAGTGTACACATGTACGCAAGTTGTACATGGTATACAAGTAAAAAAACATCTCATTTTCCCCCTCTCTCTTCTCTCTCGGTTCTCTCTCCCTTCTCTCTTTCCTCTTTTCCCAATCTCTTCTAAAATTCTTAAAAGAATGGGATGATCATCTTATCGTTCTTCATCCTCTTTTTTTCTACAGTTAGAATTGATCACACTGACAACTAAAGTTGATCACACAAACAACTATGAGGCGCACAACTATTATCTGTGTGATAAATATTGTTTGTGCAACAGGAAAATATTGTTTGTGCACACAAGCACTGCACCTATATAGATTGATTTGCAAGCTCGTGTCAGTGTCAGGCGATTGTCAGTGTACTTTTTACATGAAAGTAAATGTTTGTGAATATTGACAAAACTTGTTTGTGTACACAGACAAAACTTGTCTCCGTACACAGACAACTCTTGTCTTTGCTCATTAGCAAATCCGCACCAATTGTTTGTGATGGATATTTTGTAGTGTATTCCCTCTAGCATTTCTGAATAATCCATGATTCTTATGCAGCACGATTCTCCTATTGAATAGATTGATGTGTTGTGACTCTTAAAGAGTACTTTTTCTAACAAGTCCGCTTTTGTGAAAGGCTACCATTTTGATATTTTTAGTTTGACGAAAATATGTGGTAGCAATTCTTTAAAAACTACATTGAGGATTATCAATTGATCAAAACCACTTTTTACTTTAATTAGGTGTTACAACTCAGTAACTCACAGTATGTCAAAAGTTATCCCAATTTGCTACGTAATCTTAAATTTGTTAATAAATGGCCATGATTATCTCCATTTGTGGATGAGTAGTTTCGACCATTTATCAGGTTGGTTCATAATGAACATATTGATGCACTCCATATATTTATTCAGAATACTCCTCTATAAATTTATGTTTGGATAATAAAACTAAGCTGTTTTGCTTTTGTCGATGATACGAAAGTTACTTAATTAGCTTTTTGAGCATTGCACTAAAGAAGAATTACATTATTAGTTATTCTAGCATTTCGAAGACCCCGTTTGGTAATACCCAAATATTCCATTGGTTAATTCTACTGAAATTTATGAAGTACAAGCTAGATTAGTTAATTCTGTTGATTTATGGAAAAAATATATAAAATAACTAAAATGATCGTCAACCGCAACTTTAGTCAATACAATTAGAAAAGTAACTCTAGCATTTTTCTTATTATCACACAATTTGGCGCACAAAATCAAAAGTTACGTATTTGATAAAAAAAATGATTGATAAGTCTGATAAGCCGAAAAACATGGTCACCAAACAGGCTCGAAATTACAGTAAAAATGTGTGTATTAAATTGAGAGTCCCGATATGTTTATAACATTGGAGGTAAATCACCCCACCACACTCATTACATTTCTCATATTGTTTGTCCATAAATTATGATCCATCTTAAGTGACATGTGAGAGATATAAAGAAAGAAATAATTGTTTTAATTCAAAGTGATCCAATAGAATGAATGGGATGTAAAAAAAAAAGGTAAGAGGGATCATAGGGATGTTTGTACAATTGTACTATAGCACATATGATGATGTTTAATTGTTCATTTCATTTTGTGGATTCGTACTGGACTGAAGAAGGAAAAGTATAGGAAAAAATGGATTAAATATATATTCATCATAATAACAAACTTGACTACTAAAAGAGCATCGGGGTTTTGCGTAAACATTAAACATTTGACCAACTGATATTTTGATATAATTTGGTATACTTTACCGAAAAATAAATAACTTGGTCATGCATCTAATTTTGATCTCCTGCTTTTAACACGACTCGTCTCTTACCTAATTTATACTAATAATTTTAATTTAAAAATAATATTTTAGGACGTCCTTAAGAGATTTTAAATAATATCACTGAAACATCATCACTGCAGTTAAAGAGGTCACATTTTAGTAAAAAGTGTTTATATTAGTCATAAATATCTAATTGTTTTTTTAATTGGACTTTCTAATTCAATTTGATTTGTTTAAGTTGGGTTTAGGTTTAGCCGTGTCTTAACTAGTCTGGTTTGATAAATGTTTGTTCAATAAATTTTGATATAATCTAGTGTGTTTAAGTATAGTCTGATTTGAATTGCAACCGAAACTGAACTAAAAACATTTTTTAGGTATAAACGAGTATAATTCAGGGATTTGAGGCGTGTTTATCCTGATTTGATATTCTATATGTATTTTATGATTACTTAGTTGAGGTTTCACAAAGTCCACTTTGTTGAATCTGGTTTAGTTTGGTTTGAAATCAGGTTAAGCTGACTCATACTACAATAAGCCTAATAAAAATGTATTAACCCGGCCAATTAAGGTTACGAGTTTACATTATAGTCCGAGTTTAATGTACGCGACCCATTTGTGATATACAAAATGTAAATAATGCACATTAGTCTTGTGATTAAAAAATTGTTTCAAAGTCATATGTGTTATAAACTTATAATTAGTCATGCACAATTTTTTCTCTAGAAACAAATTTAATTGTCGAACAAAAGAAGAATGATTTCTAAATAGTTAACTTCGTTCTTGAAGAGGATTTCGCAAATGATTAATCATAACACGTTGAGGTTTGTGGTATTTCTTAACTCACAAAATGCTAACGTGGATATCTTATATATAACGAAAGAGTTTAGTGCATTAAACATTTTTTATACAGTTACTTATATACTTCAAATTTTAACCTCGCACCCTCCCTCTCCTAGCTTTTCCCCTATTTCCCCATCTTACTATAAAAACTCAGATTTTTCTATGCATATTTCTCCATGTTTAATCTCTTCACCCATCCACTTCTCCATGTGGTTTTCCTCATTAAATTGTGATTCACTTCTTTATTTATTGCCTGAATTCTTATTTTTTATTTTTATCTTCGTTTTCTACTTATTACTTTCCAGTTTCCATGCAACCACATACTTCTCTTTAAACTTGAGTGTGTTGAAAAACGAAAACTATTTAATCTAAAGAAGTGAATCACAATTTAATCCCGAAAAACACCATGAATAAGTTTTAACATCAAAAAACACAACTGGAGATGGACAATGGTCAAAACATACCATCTCGGATGGAAAACCGCTGTAAAACACAACCTTTTATGTGTCATATATGTAATACTCCCTCCGTCCCAAATTGATTTGCAAAGTCAACATTTTTGGTCAACCAATAATAAAAGTCAAACCTCTTTATGGATAATTAACTCAATTTTTAATAATTAAAAATTACATATTATATTCGGAAACTATATTAAATTCTCTTCAAAGTTGCAAACTCCAAATTATAATATAATTATAAATTGACATCCTAGTCAAGCAAATAAAATGAAACTGTTTGACCAAGAAAAGTCAAATTTGCAAATCAATTTGGGACGGAGGTAGTATTGTTTGTGCCTTGAAAATAAAATTATTTGTACACATTGTTATTGTCAATGTCATGCTATCTATTGTCTAGAAAATTAGTTTTCTCATAGGCAAATTTTATTTAGATGATGATATCAAATTGAAAAACTAGTAACTTATCCAAATAAATAACTAATTAATGATTGAGCCACTTGAATTCGAATTGATCTTTACGCTCATATATGCTTTTTACAGAGATCAGATATGCCAATCTCTAATTACATGGAATCCAATGTGTGTGCTAGTTAAACTTAACTTGCAAGAGATCTTTGTACATGAACATATAACATAAAAACATTTTTATTTATAAAATCATATATTTCCAACATACATTTTTTATTCGGGAACTAATTTGCACACAAAAGCTATATATGTGAAAGATTTTGAGCACCTTCACCAGCCGACATAGATGTCTTACACTTTTATTGATTATATTAGCTTTAATATAAGCATTCTCCTTTCAAAAAAACTTTTCAAATACATAAAAACTACTCTCTTCATCCCATAAAATAGTTCCCAGTTTGACATGGATTGGAATTTAAGAAAATAGAAATAAAGTGAAAATGTAT